ATATTTCTCCAACGTAGCCCTTCCAGAGCTCCACCAGACAGTGTATTCTTTCATTGAGGGACTCCTTAAAGAAAGCGTCTCATCCTCTGTGAGTTTCACAAGTGACATTTGGAGCTCAGATGTCAGTCCTGTGTCAACGCTGAGTTTAACAGCTCACTGGATAGATGCAGGCTTTCAACTTCAAAGAGCTGTTCTGCATGCCCAGGAGTTTTCCGGTTCCCATACTGCGCTAGCTTTAGCAGCTGCATTTGAACAAATGTTTCACACATGGCATATTCCAAAAGATAGGGTACATGTGATACTAAGAGACAATGCCAGAAACATGACGAAAGCTATGGCAGATGCTGGGTTACCAAGTTTGGGGTGTATGGCACACACCCTGCAGTTGGCCATCCATGATGCTGTGCTGTCACAGCCCAGCATAAGTGACATTGTTGCCAAAGGGAGACGCATTGTGGGACACTTCAGGCACTCTCCTTTAGCATATGCAAGACTTCAGAGTGAACAAAAACAACTGGGACAGCTCACCAAAAGACTGCAGCAAGATGTCAGCACGAGGTGGAACAGCACCTATTATACGCTCCGCAGCCTCTTGGAGCAAAAACGAGCTTTGGGCGTTTATGCTGCTGACTTTGAGCTACCTGCTACCTTTACATCTTCCCAGTGGGACCTGACTGAAAACACAACACTACTCCTGGAACCCTTTGCTGACTAAAGAAATATGCTCATGAACTGCATCTGCTGCTGATGTCCTCTATGCTGGTTTTAAAGCGCCTACTTGCCAAAGATGCTGCAGCAGATCATGGTGTGAAGACAACTAAGGCCACTTTGCTGGAAGCTGTCTCCAAAAGATTTGCTGACATCGAAAAGGAGCCTCTCTACAGTTTGGCCACCATCATAGATCCAAGGTGAGAAAATTATAAAATAAATAATGCAGAAATGTAAGCATTTACTTATCCATAGTAAATTATTTTGTTTTCAAGTTGCCAGAAACTACAAGTTTAATAAGAAATGAATGTGATGTCTCCCCATCCCTATTCTAGGTACAAAGACAAATTCTACCCTGAAGACGCAGTCAAGATCGAGACACACAGACAGCTTCTTCGTCTGATCACAAAGGCCTCTCAGAGGGACCCAAACCAAGAAGCTGAAGCCAGCAACACAGGACCACCAGCAGAGAAAGTGCCACGACCAGGATCCTTTTCTTCCATGTTTGGTGAAATCCTGGCAGAAGAAACCCCACGGCGGGCTCACACTGACACTCCAGGAGGACCAGCACCATCAGAGATGATTGTCTATCTCTCAGAGCCACCCATCCCTCGGAGTGCATCACCTTTGGCATTCTGGAAAACTAATAAGGAGAGATTTCCAGACCTTGCTAAAGTAGCTCGAGCCTACCTGTCTGCACCCTGCACAAGTGTAGAGAGTGAGCGATTATTCAGTGCTGCATCCAACATTGTAGGTGAACACAGGAATAGACTCATGACTGAAAAAGCAGAGATGCTCCTCTTTATTAAAAAGAATCTTCCCATGATGCTTCTCAACAAGTCAAACAAGTCATAAATATTTAGCGTACACAAATGCTGTTTAACACGTTTCCCTGTTTAAAGCAATTGCACTTTAAGTTGTGCCAGTTTTCCGTTTCAAGGTCTTTAGGACCATATGTATGTTGTTCGAGTGACAAATGGGCTATTTTATTTACCTTGTGAAACAGTCATATTTATTTTATACTTTATAAGAAAGTGACAAATGTGCTATTTTTTTTACCGGTACCTTGAGAAACAGAGTCATATTTATTTTATACATTAGAAGTGACAAATGGGCTATTTTATTAACCTTGAGAAACAGAGTCATGTTTATTTTATACATTATAAAAATGGTGAGCACTTTCATTTTTGGTATAACAATAAACAGAGTTTGATAATTCATGGCCTCAGGTATTTTTGATTTTGTAAGTTATAGTTAATATGAATACATGCTCCATTTGAATCTGAATGTATCCTTGGTTACTTAATTTGATTTAGGCGGTGATGTGAGATATTGATTTTTTTTCACTATTTGTAGCCTAAAGAGAGCCTTAATGTTTTCAATTTCTTCTAATTGTTACTGATATTACATAATTTGAAGTGAAGTAAAACCATGTTTTTTCTGAATTAATATGTAACACATGCATTAGAACTCACCATAGCTAAATGAACAATTTACAGCCAATCTATGTAATTGGTATCTGTAATCGGCTGATGGGCCTCTTGGCTAATCGGTATTGTGATCGGCAGATTAAAACCTGATCGGAGCATCCCTAATTCAAATCCCAAGTAACCAGGTTTGTAGGATTTCCTTTTTCCACCTTCGGAATATTGCTAAGATTAGAAGCATCCTTTCCAGGAGTGACGCCGGGGACACACCGGCCGCGGAAGCGCCGCGAAGCGCCGAGAAGCGAATCGCTCACGAAATTCGGCCGCTGCTCGCCGCTCCTCAGTTCAGATCAGACGCGCCCCAGTCGAGGCGCGCCTCGGCTCAGCTGTAGTTTTTCTTTTAAACACTTGGTGTCCTCCATTTCCTCTCTGCCTTTTCTCAGCTCTTTTCCTACGTTTGAGTGTTTGTGCGCGTGCGCGCGCGCGTGTGTGTGAACCTATGGTATGAGTTGTTTCTGCCAGTTGAATCTCTTGGAACCCGCTCCAATTCTGCAGCTGTATCCTAGCAGTTTCTTCCGACATGGGTACGTAAACAATCATGTTTTTCGGGGGTCGTACAGCTCCTTGTGTTTCTCAACTTCCATAATTAATTTAAAGTCATCCATCCTAACTGCTTGCCTCAGACTTTCTGCCTCTCTGTCCTGTTTGCTCCGGTGAAAAGACACCCAAAACCACTCCCCCCTTCACGTGGTCACACACGCACACAAGTTCGATGTGTGTGTATGTGTGTGCGTGTTCGTGTGGTTTTTCTGCAGTGTCTGTTTACGAACACATTTGACTATTGCGGAATTTTATTTTGAAATGCTTTATTTTGTTAACTTTACCGGCCTGCCTCTTATGTCTACGTTTGACTTCCTGCCAGAATTGACGAGATTCACCCGCGGCTCGCGAAAAAAATAGAGCCAACGCCGAAATGATCGCTGCACGGCGCGGGCTGGAGCGCCGGCGCGCGCCGGCGCGAGGCGATTCGCGGCGCTTCGGCGGCCCATGTGGTCTATAGAATAGCTTAACAAGGGCGCCGAATGAAGGCGGTCCCATTTTCGCGGCGCTTCGCGGCGCTTCCGCGGCCAGTGTGTCCCCGGCCTGATACTGAAAAACTAGTTCATGCATTTATTACATCAAGACTGGATTACTGTAATTCATTACTCTCAGGAAGTCCACAGAATGTAGTTAAAAGTCTTCAGCTTGTCCAAAATGCTGCAGCTAGAGTTCTGATGAGAATTAAAAAGAGAGATCATATCTCTCCTGTCTTAGCTTCCCTACATTGGCTACCTGTTAAATTCAGAATAGGTTTTAAGATCCTTCTTTTCACATATAAAGCTCTTAATAATCAAGCTCCATCGTACATCAGTGATCTGATTGTTCCATATGTTCCTAACCGAGCACTTCGCTCTCAGACTGCAGGTCTACTGGTGGTTCCCAGATGATCTAAAAATAGGATGAGAGGCAGATATTTTAGTTATCAGGCTCCTCTCCTGTGGAACCAGCTCCCAGCTTTAGTCTGTGAGGCAGACACCTTGTTTACTTTTAAGAATAGGCTCAAAACATTTTTATTTGATAGGGCCTATGGTTAAAATCTGATGTTAGCCTAGATCTGGACAAGTGGGGGAGTAGAGGGAGGTGGAGTGTACAGTCGGTAAAGACAGCTCTCCCTTGCCCTGCCTCCAACATGCCTCCATCTAAAAAGGCTAGGTTATCCAGTTATCTCTGTAGTTATGCTGCTATAGGCTTAGACTGCTGGAGGACACACTGACCACTTTTCACACTCTACTACTTTCTTCTACAATCTGCTCTTTAACTGTATTATTTTCTGCAATTTCAGCTGTTATCTTTATTTTCTCTCTAAGTGTTTTTCTCCCCAGAAGAAGCTACAATGATGTTCTGTAGAGCTGTGGTGGCCTCATGGAGGGGGCCATCGACTAGCACACTGCTGCTAACCACTTAAACATTCTCCCTCTTTTGCTTTCCTTGACGTTGGATGTGCTACTACTAGTTTACCCATTTAATTATAGATTCACTAGGATAAATACAATAAAGTTTATCTCTCACCAAATAGAATATTTACTAAGAAATCACAATGTATCCGTAGAAACATTACTTGGTACATATGTTGTGTGTGTGGATGTGTGTGTGTGTGTGTGGGTGGGTGGGTGGGTGGGCTGGTGTTGGTGTATGCATGAGTCTGCTCTGTCTTCTCCATCCCCAGTGAGTTGTGGTGGATGGCTGCTTATACAGGTCCTTCAAAAAAATTAGCATATTGTGATAAAGTTCATTCTTTTCTGTAATGCACTGATAAACATTAGACTTTCATATATATTAGATTCATTACACACAACTGAAGTAGTTCAAGCCTTTTATTGTTTCTAATATTGATGATTTTGGCATACAGCTCATGAAAACCCAAAATTCCTATCTCAAAAAATTAGCATATCATGAAAATGTTCTCTAAACGAGCTATTAACCTAATCATCTGAATCAACTAATTAACTCTAAACACCTGCAAAAGATTCCTGAGGCTTTTAAAAACTCCCAGCCTGGTTCATTACTCAAAACTGCAATCATGGGTAAGACTGCCGACCTGACTGCTGTCCAGAAGGCCATCATTGACACCCTCAAGCAAGAGGGTAAGACACAGAAAGAACTTTCTGAACGAATAGGCTGTTCCCAGAGTGCTGTATCAAGGCACCTCAGTGGGAAGTCTGTGGGAAGGAAAAAGTGTGGCAGAAAACGCTGCACAACCAGAAGAGGTGACCCGACCCTGAGGAAGATTGTGGAGAAGGACCGATTCCAGACCTTGGGGGACCTGCGGAAGCAGTGGACTGAGTCTGGAGTAGAAGCATCCAGAGCCACCGTGTACAGGTGTGTGCAGGAAATGGGCTACAGGTGCCGCATTCCCCAGGTCAAGCCACTTTTGAACCAGAAACAGCGGCAGAAGTGCCTGACCTGGGCTACAGAGAAGCAGCACTGGACTGTTGCTCAGTGGTCCAAAGTACTTTTTTAGGATGAAAGCAAATTTTGCATGTCATTCAGAAATCAAGGTGCCAGAGTCTGGAGGAAGACTGGGCAGAGGGAAATGCCATGCTCAGTGCATGTCTCAGACAATGGTGAAAATATTAGGAGGTGCTGGAAATATCATAATGGGAGGACAAACCCCTACATGGGATGTACCACCAACAGATAACTGAAGCTGAAATCAAGAAATCCTACCAATGGCTAGAAGTAGCTGGTCTGAAGGACAACAAAGAGGCATTTATCAGGGCTGCACAGGAACAGGCCCTGAAAACCAGAGCAACAGAGAAATACCAGGGCCTCAATTAGAGAAAGTCTGGAGGGTTATGACATCTGTGATGTTGGTGAACTTGGGGCAGTTACCCCCAAACTGGAGGAGTGGCTAAAGCAGATCCCAGGAAAAAAAAATCAGACATCTCAGTCCAGAAAAGTGCAGT